GATATTGCGCTGTTAGCCAAAAGCTTTGGTGGTCTACAGTTGGTAGTGTCGCGGTCAAATGAGATCACTATGTCGGTTAGCATGTCCATAAATTCCGAAAAGACGAAGTTATTTTCGAGGTGCATCTCTAAACACGCGAAGGCACCCCTGGGGACTAATAACCGTCACCTTTAAGAAGTAGACAGCTTTAAATACCTCGGAGCGGGGCTGGGCAGAGCAAGGACGACATTGTCTCCCGTATCGATGCTGCTCGCTGGGTTTTCTCAATCGTTCGAAAGCGCCTATGGATCCAACGTGGCAACTACATCGCCACGAGGATTCGTGTATATCATGCATCCATCGGTAAGTTCTCCTCTATGAATGTGGATGCTGGACTTCGCGCGCTGAAGATGAGCGAAGACAGGAGGTCTTTGACCACCGATGCCTGAGGACCTGTGGTTAGAGAGCTAACACACTATCGGAACGAAACAATGGCTAACACATGAAATGTAATAACGACCAAACGAGAAACACCGCAAAGATCAAAAGAACTCAAATATAAAGGTATGGGAAAATAGTTACAACCCGAATGTTCTTGTACTCGCGGATAAAGTTCTATCGGTATTGTGAGTACATTCGAAGTATAGGGAAAATCACGGATAATGGAGGCGAGAATGATAAAACTCACAAATATTCGGGGACCGCCACACAGATAAGAAAAGCGACTTCATCTCGATTGAGACAAGCAGCAGCCGCTGCGATCGTATCGCGAGGATATCACAGGCCTTTCAAGAAAGGCAACTAAGATGGTTCGGACACATTCTCCGTCATATTCCCAATGAACTTAACTATGCTGCCCTCGACCCGGCACCGCAACCCGCCTTGAAGAGTCGAAGAGGTGGGCAACTGAAGACTTTGCGCGACACCGTCCGTAAGGAAATGGAAGCAGTCCTTGGACCTTCTATCTTCGGTCTCTGTCACTGGAGAAAAGACTGGGTGTATCTATCCAGATCCGCTGCCACA